ACTCAACAGCAAACCTCTCCCCCCCCCCCCCCCGCATTGCCTCCCCCCTACCATCATCCCAAACCCAACAACCCCACCTTCCCGACGAGACGTCGCTGTGTCATCACGCTTCACCACTCTCTCATCGGTGTCGTTCCCCGCGAGCTGGGTGGGAACATCTCTCACTTTGCGTAAAAAAAAAAAAATTCCTTTTGCCTTTTTGCGATCGTAGCGCAGTCACGTTCCTCACCTGCGCCTCAAGCCGCTTCCAGATCGGAGACAGAGGAGAGGAGAGAGAGGAGAGAGAGAGAGGAGAAGTTTGGATCTTGAATTGAGAGCCTTCGCTCGGCGGTCGCGGGCACGATGGAGATTTTTGCTCTTTCGCTTTACTTTGCCTTCTTTCTCACCCTGTGCACGCTCGTTTGCCTCTACTTTTCCGGCTGCCAGGAAATGACATACAAGCATGACGGTAAAAGACCACCTGTCGCCTCTAATGCGCGCGCATATATATATTCATCACTGCTGTTTTCGTTGCTTTGAGTGGACGATCTGTCGCTTTGTCGCAGAGACACGCGCTCTCGTTGCAGCGGTCGTCATCGTCGCGTTAATTTCGTGCGAATTTGCAATAACTTCGGGACCGAACGTTTGTTGTCGTATAGAAATGCGAGGCTCCTAACTCGTCGAGCATACGCGGATGAATGAAGTTTTTTTGCTGCGGCGTTTGCTTTGCGAATGACCTCGCCGAAGGGTTTCCTTGAGAGTCTGCTCGGTGCTGTTTGTGTGAATAATCGCGTTTGTATAATTGCAACGACAAAAATAACGAATTAACCCCTGCGTATGCGGCATATGCACGACTGCTTTGTGCTGCGTCAGTGTCACTGGCGGACGGTCAAGGCAGTCGCATCTGCAGGCGAATATGTGACATGTATAATGTACGTGTTATATATACATTATATATTTAGATAGAAGGCGAATACATTATTTATATATGAGGCTAACATTGTAATTTTTTTTCCAAAGGACATATTTTCCTATTTTGACATGTTAGGAAATGTTATTGAACAACAATAACACGTGTTTGTGTCAGTGTATCTGAGTAATTGTGTGTGTATTCTGCATGTATATTGTGTGTATATACAAATTTAAGGTTTAATATGATTTTCTTGTTAAAAAAAAGATGTTAATCTGTGTAAATGTTATCGTGCAAGATTGTTTTCCAAATTCATTTACCTTTACCACAGTGGCAGCAGGTTATGAATATATTTGTGCGAGGAATTGTACACACATGCAACATTTTAGGAGTGGCAAATTTGCTTCGCCCTTTCAGAATTCAATTGAACGACGTATCCAGCACAATGCTGGATATTCGGCCATGACGCATCAGCCTCAGACCAATTAGTAGCCCACACCCAGCGAAGCATCTGTGCATTGTCTTTTTCATCTGTGCATTGTCTTTTTCATCTGTGCATTTTCTTTTTCATCTGTGCATTTTCTTTTTCATCTGTGCATTGTCTTTTTCATCTGTGCATTTTCTTTTTCATCTGTGCATTGTCTTTTTCATCTGTGCATTTTCTTTTTCATCTGTGCATTTTCTTTTTCATCTGTGCATTTTCTTTTTCATCTGTGCATTTTCTTTTTCATCTGTGCATTTTCTTTTTCATCTGTGCATTTTCTTTTTCATCTGTGCATTTTCTTTTTCATCTGTGCATTTTCTTTTTCATCTGTGCATTTTCTTTTTCATCTGTGCATTTTCTTTTTCATCTGTGCATTTTCTTTTTCATCTGTGCATTTTCTTTTTCATCTGTGCATTTTCTTTTTCATCTGTGCATTTTCTTTTTCATCTGTGCATTTTCTTTTTCATCTGTGCATTTTCTTTTTCATCTGTGCATTTTCTTTTTCATCTGTGCATTTTCTTTTTCATCTGTGCATTTTCTTTTTCATCTGTGCATTTTCTTTTTCATCTGTGCATTTTCTTTTTCATCTGTGCATTTTCTTTTTCATCTGTGCATTGTGCAGCGGGCATCTTCTCTGTACGTTCACATCGCTGACTTTTTTTACATATCCGACTATATGGGCCTCAGTCCTCAGCGATTCGGATATGCGAATTCCTGTATCATGCAGAAATTTATTATGTAATTGTATATTATTGATAATGATATTTAAATCCAGACTAACAAAAAACATACTTTCATTTAGTTCCAATATCACATCTCGGTGAATGAGCCATTTGTGGATAGTTCATGATCAACTATTTAGCTTATCAAGCGATATTAAAATATAGCAGTCTAGTGAAGATAATGCTTTGTTCTTTTGCTTCATATCGCGTGGGCACATCCACCAAGGACCACACGTTTGTATTTGAACTTAGAACGGCCGTCAACACAGACAAAGCAAACTAAGCACTCGGTTTGCGCTGTCAAGCAGTGCCCCTCAAAAGTACCGATAGGTTATTTAAATGAGAAGTACGGGACATACTTGGGATCTGGGTTGTAATTCTAAGAACGGTGATACTGTGTTGGCAGCAGTATGCATATCTACGGGACCTTTTTGCTAGTATCCAAAATAATGAAACATAAGAATAGATGTTACCCTTTCTGGCAATACAACAGGTGTTAAGATGTTCGCTATCACTCTGCCACAGTCTCACTTAGGCAAATCCAGTGTTAAACCAGTGCCAGGACTAAAATTATGGTTTTCACGGCATTTTTCAGATGGGTTTTTTCTCCCCTCCAATGACGCCAATGAAAACTACTCGGTGGCATTGGTGTTACAGGCCACAACTTTCCGGTGAAATTGAATTCGGAAAAAAACGTTTAGCCTGGAAAATTAGAATTTACTCCTATTTATTTTTCGAATTCATGTATCCAGGAAAGCCTCGCTGAGACATTTAGCTCTGTTTTAGAAGAGTCCAACATTGGGATGTCGCACCTCCGGTTAGCACGGTTGGCTATGTACGGTGCGAAAGAAGTTCAACAAGTGTACATACATACATGTCTCGTTATTTTTATGGAACGTATCGAACTGCACCGGTACAACGCATCAAAATAAAACCGTGTGCTAGCAGTGACGTGCTGGCACTGAGAGAGAAGACGTGGCGCCACGTTCATCATGACCACCATTTTGGACCGAGTCAGGGAGAGCTCAAGAGAATACTTTGAATAGTTTGTAGTTGAATAATGCTACAGTGGTTTTAATCTTGATTTGAAGCTTTCGTGACTGCAGGAATCCATACTATTTTGGTTCTTTCGGTTCTTTCGGTAAATTCACGTAGGTAGAAATAAAATAAAATAAAAAAAATCACGACGTTTCGATCGCAACACAAGCAATCCTCATCAGGTGAGAAAACCACAGCAAGAAAAAATATGTAGTCCAAAAATGTGTAGTCCATCTTTTCTTGCTGTGGTTGTTCCACCTGATGAGGTTGCTTGTGTTGCGATCGAAACGTCGTGCTTTGCGTTATTTGATTTCTACCTACGTGACTTTACCGAAAGCATCAAAGAGTGAATTTTGATTTAAAGCTTTCGTGATTGCAGGGATTCATATTCTTGGTTCTTTCGGTAAAGTCACGTAGAAGGGAAATAATAAAATAATATAAATTTTCTTGCTGTGGATTTCACACCTGATGATGATTGCTTGTGTTGCAGTCGAAACGTCGTGAGAATTTTTATTGTTGTATATTTATATTATTTTATTATTTCCCTTCTACGTGACTTTACCGAAAGAACCAAGATTAATCAAAGAGTAGTTTTAATGCTGCGGGATTTTAAATTGTCTTCTAGAACCATAAGCCAGTCCCAGTGGGCTGGTTGCTTTATATCTCCTCTGAAAACGGCCTTTGCCACCCCACTGATGTTTTATTTATATATATATAAAAGGCAGTATTACTCATCAGGAAGATATTATAGCCTGTGCTATACAATATTATCTACCTAGTATATATCATACATACACTATATAAACGCATTCTCTCAGGGACATTGGACCGCCCTTGGAATGTATAACATTGTTAAGTTTAAATGGCGGATATGAGCAATTTTGCCCTGCGTGAGTGATTGCAAATGGACCCATTTTGTGTTGTCAAGTGCACCAACAGGCATCCGTGACTGCTCCTTGGTCGATTCAATCAGAGCCCGATCTGCGAGCATCACCACTAAACAAAGACAAAGATCCCCCGTATAGCCTTTAACAAACTGTTGTGGAAAGTGCTGTTAGCGAGCACCTATGAAGGCTGGCATGCCATAGGAGGGGGTGGGTGGCCATCACCACGCATTTGTCTCCCCAGTGACGATGTTTACACACCGCACTAGGTACTCATTTGCGGCTGAGCCGACCTAGAGGAGGCCCAGGACGGGTCAGATAATCGTCGCCGGTGTTTGCCGTGAGCGGGGAATCGACCCCGTGTCGCCGGGTTCGTAGCGTATTGCGCGAACCGCTATACTTGGTCAAGTCAATCAAAACCCGATCTGCAAGCATCACCACACACACACACAAGGTATGCGATGACATTGCCACACGTGTTCATATGATGGCAGCAACACAAATCCAAGCAGTAGGTTTTGGGGTTTTTTCGTGCTCTGGTTCAAGTATATCTTGTGTAATGTTTAAAAAAACGTAGTTGGTTAATTTTTGAACCTTAGTACGAAACTATAAAGAAAAGCAGTTTGAAGACGGTTCATAATAAAAACACAGGGTAATGACGAAATGAGGTATTATACAAGCAGGGATTCGCTTATATTTCTCCATTCGTGTGGTTTGCATTTCTTCATTTGTGTGAGTCTGTGCACAGACGTTCCTCCATTGATATTTTTAGCTTCTTTCGCTAATTTCCCTCCCCATTAGTGATGAGTTGTAAATTAGACACCCGGGTGAGTTCAATCCTTCGGTCACACACAGCTGTTGGTGAATTCTGCATTCGGCCTCTGCATAACCCAAGGCGAGTCTGTCGTTGATTGAGCGCTAATGTGCCGTGCCACTGCACCTTGTTGTCTCCCGTTGGACTCCCTGCCCTGCCGCGAGTTTAGAGGCCGGTTGTGGAGACATATTTTGGGTATGACGAGGAGGTCTCCGTCGACTCGGATGCCTCCTCCCTCTCCTATGCCACCGACCGCACGCCTGGCACTCCCGACGACGACATCGAAGACGTACGTGTGCCAACAGACACAACACTATCATTTTTCGATTTAAAGCTTTCGTGACTGCAGGGATTCATCTTCTTGGTTCTTTCGGTAAAGTCGTCACGTAGAAGGGAAATAATAAAATAATAAAAATATAACGTAATAAAATACAATTCTAACGATGTTTCGGGCCACAACGCAAGCAGCCGTCCTCAGGTGAAGAACAGGTCTGTCGGAAAGACAGCGTCTGAATGAACACCACCAAGCTAATTCTACTTCCTCCCTTTATTACTGCTAATCCTACATAATACACGAGCATAATATGACTTTAAGACCCCCCCCCCCCCCACACATTCCACAAGTAGTGACTAATCCCATATCTGCATGTCCCATAAATATGCTAAATTCCTCTGTTGATATGCAAATTCCTTTGTCAAGGCTCTCGCCTCCTCTAACCCAGCTTAAATATATGCTGCCAAGCTTGGTGGTGCTCATTCAGACACTGTCTTTCCGAAAGCCCTGTTCTTCACCTGAGGACAGCTGCTTGCGTTGTGGCCGAAACGTCGTGAGAATTGTATTTAATTATGTTTTATTTTTATTATTTTATTATTCCCCTTCTACGTGACTTTACCAAAAGAACGAAGAAGACAACACTATCATCTTTAAAATTATATACATTTTACCAGGTAAGGCATACTGAGCTGTATAGTTTTTGTTTTCAAAAGCGACCTGGCCACAAACGATAGCACAACGAAGTGGCTTGTCGCGTGGACATTTGTAGCAGCCTATAATTCTCTAAACGCACGTCGATTCTGAATGTGGAGGGGAAAACCGGAGAAAAATCCACGCGACCACAGGGAGAACATGCAAACTCCAAATATGCAGGCATTAGCGTCGATCTCATGTATACTAGTCGAGGGAGTTAACATCTCGCCCTGTTTTTTATGACCCCATGTGGATGATTGTCCGCCAGCGGGAATTCTAACAACATTCTGACCGTCAGTTGAGCGCTGTTCCAAAACTCTCTCCAGCTATTGCAGCTGTCAGAGTTGGGTTAAGCTGAATTAAGCACAAAATCTAATTTCACGTGATGAATGTTTGTGTGTGATCAGTCATTGGTTAGCAGGATAATACTCTGAACTCACTGCACGATAAATTCTCTCTAATCCCAACAAGCTGATTGATTTGACCTGAGGATCTCAGTGGTGGTGACTCATTAATCTCATGCAAGCATTAACCCGCCATCGGAAAGGTAGACTTTCAGATGGCATTCATTTTTCACTGAAAATAATAATAAGCAATGCATTTACAGATTTGACCTTAATAAATATGCTGCACATTTCAACTAAGGCTGGCAACTCGGTTAATAAAACGAGGCGGAGGTACTAACATAGTGTGCAAACGCGGTTCTAAATTGGTTTTATTCAGTCCCAGTTTCACATTATATTGTTTTCAGTCTTTATTAACTTTAATAGATTTGGATTATAATTTTACATTCACACAGCACTCATGCATAGAGTTTAGCCAATTCATAATACAGGCTTTTGATATTGTTTTTTTATATTTGTATTATTTTATTATTTCCCTTCTACGTGACTTTACCGAAAGAACCAAGAATATGAATCCATGCAGTCACGAAAGCTTTAAATTAAAATTGAAGGCTTTTGAGTTATATCGCGTAAGTATAAATGTGTCGAAACCCTCCGCCACCCGACACGGCCAATCAAGGAAGGGATTTGTCACGTAAACAAAAAGCGACAAATAGTTACTACAACCCACAGGTGTGAATCCACAGCATTTACAATCCGAGTACGACGTTTCGCTGGTAATTACATCCAGCATCATCGGGCGATTTGCAAGTTCAGCCAATCTTCACGTATTTGATAGTTAAATCATATCTGATAAGTTGTGTGGTGCATCTGCAAACTGTTGAGTCTGATTTTGATTCTAGGCTATTGCATGGCCTTGACCCAGCCCACGATTTAAGATGTAACATTGGCTACGTCTATAATGGATACTAAAATAGAATTATGGCCTGCTAATGATTTCAATGGGTTGCTAAGGTTAATTTTATAAATTATTAATTATTTACCTTCACTGGTTCTCACTAATCCTGTTTTTTTAAAATAAATTACTTCATACTGTGCAATCATGTCTGATAATAATCACAATAATTTCCGTTATACGAAGCGTAAATTTTGGATCGCAGAGTGTGGGTTTTTGATATTGTGTAGTGGTATTGCAGTTCGCGTGTGTGACGCTACTGGGCCCTCCTGTTGGTGTGGTCACGCCTAGCAACAGGTGGCAGGGGAGGTGCGGGGGGCGGGCGGTGTGGGGGGGGGCGGTACGTGGAGGTGCGAGATGGGGCTGGGGGATTGGGTGGGGGGTATGTGGGGCATGTTCATAATACGCGGCGTCACACGTTAATTGGCGTTTAAGCAGCCTGTAAAAAGGTAAAGGTGCACGCCCCGAAATGTGGTGGCCAGGCCGCTTCTGAAAAGGAGCTGTATAGCTCAGTGGGCCCCCTTACCTGGTAAAATACCAAAAAGTGAAGTGTGCTGAACTTCTTTCACACCGTACGTAGCCAACCGTGCTAAACGGAGGTGCTCGGGAGGAAGGACAACAAATTTAAACACAATAACAGTTTGCAATCGAGAGAATGGCTGAAGGGCCTCCAGAAGCAGCTATTGACAGTCCCTGCAGAGGGTACGAGGCCTCTCCTTCCTACGCTATCCAGGCGTCTTCGAAGCGGTGGGATCACCCCACACTTTACCAGACCGCACACGACTGGCCGATCGACTCGCTGCGATTGTTACCCATTTATACTGCTGGGTTGACAGCGGCGGGGGCATTGGCTTGGTTTCTGGCAGTCATAACCGGGATTAATACTGGTAGGAACCACTTGGTTCCACCAGCCCACAGGGGATTATTGTGTCCGTCCGTCGTGCATCAAAAAATGGGAGGGGTGGGGCTGGGTGGAGAGGGGGCGGTGGGGAGTGGATGGGTGGGTAGGGGCTGGGTGGGGAGGGTGGGGCTCGGTAGGGGGTGGGAGGGGTGGGGCTGGGTGGGAGGGGTGGGGCTGGGTGGGGAGGGGCTGGTCACCCCATGGTGCCCTTATAAAACTCAACGTTTAACCTACTCACGCCGGCTTGTGCCCGCCCTCACAGTCGGCCATATTTGCGGAATACACCACGCCGCCGTTGACCCTGGCCATTGACCGAGCAACCCAACGTTCCTACCAGCTCCCTCCGCAGGAATGTGTTTTATGAATGTGTTTAAGAACGGAGTCAATGGTGAGAGGAACAGAGATATTTGTCTTCACGTAACATGTTGTAGGAATAATCTACACACTTCGGATTGGAGACCGTCTAATTGATTAGGACTGCCCGATGCTCCATAGATCATTGGAAAGCTTTAAATAACATTTTAGGGATCGTGCTAAGTTATTACTTAGAGGTGAATTTAGATACACCACCACCACCACCACCAGAATTTTCCCTTTTCCTGCCAGTGAGTGAAAAAATATCTCGAAATTTCGGCGAAGTGGCTTTTTTTTTTTTACAAATTCTAACATTTACATCTCTCTGGGGAAATGTATTTAAATATAATACTGCAAGAAATGGATTATCTTCAGAGCCGAGAGCAGACAGAGAGAGAGACGATGATTGAGTCTTTTATTTGTTGATGGAATTTTTTGAAAATGTGGTGACTCACAAAGACTTGACATATTTTTGGTTATTTCGGTAAAGTCACGTAAATGTAAATATCTTTTTAATAAAAAAAATAAGATTTTTTTTTTTACGTGACTTTACCGAAAGAACCAAGAATATGAATTCCTGCAGTCACGAAAGTTTTAAGTTAAAGTTTAAAGACTTGACAAGTAGGAGAGAATAAAAGTTGATTTGTGAATACGATAGTCTCCAATTGCTTATATATTTTTGGCCACCACAATTGAGCATTTCCATTCACAAACGTAGGGCACAATATTTTCCTACTCTCTCTGTCTTTGCTCCGAGGAAAGGCAGATTCTAGAAATATAAATTTTTCATGCATTTTTTTTTCCCCCAGAGACTTTGTAAACCTCATTATTTCTCGCAGAAGGGCATTCCAACGGAAATGTCGACTTCTTCCTTGCTGCTCGTTAACGAAAGAACAAAACCAAACATGTCGTATTTATAATTCACCTCTAAGTGACATTGACCATCACTGTCATAAAGGTTTATAAGGCAAAGGTGCAGCTCTGCAATTGCTTGCTGACACCACTGCTGCCAGAAGAGCCTCCACTCGGCTTCCTGCATCTATGACGAGCACGGTTGGCTACGTACGGTACGAAAGACGTCCAACATACATACATGGAGAGCCGCTCAAGGAGGTGTTTGGTCTACTCCTCCACGCTGTCCAGACGTCTTGGAAGAGGTCGGAAGCCACAGCTTGCCTGTTGACCGTCGCTTTATCCATTTATACCGCTGGGTGGGGGCAGAAGGCGGGAAGATTTCAGAAACTCGCGCTATTGTTTCAACTTCTGCACCAGGAGATTGACGTGGCGACCAAGTGTGCTGATCGCTTACACAATGGGACACAATTAATGGAGGCACGCGAAAGTCAAAGCACGACTCAAGCTGTAAACGTTACAGCTCAGGACGAATAATGAATAGCAAATGAACTCAACTGCTGTGCATGTCTTCACACGTAAATTAGATATTCAATGAATAACTAAGTAGAAGAACAATTACATTGAGTTTTCATTTTGTGTGGGTTTTTTTTGTTGCAAATCACATCTTGGCTGATTTACAGAACAAGAGGCATGGCGAGTGTTGCTATTTTTCTTCTTGGTTCTTTCGGTAAAGTCACGTAGAATGGATTATTATTTCCATTCTACGTGACTTTACCGAAAGAACCAAGAAGATGAATCCCTGCAGTCACGAAAGCTTTACATCGAAATTGTTGCTATTTTGTTCTTGTTGCTATGCAGCTAATCTGGCTGTGACGGTCCCACCTGATGACGGAGACTTGTGTTGCCTCCGAAACGTCGTGATCTTTATTTTATTTTTTATTAATTTTGATGTTTTACCTACGTGACTTTACCGAAAAAACCTAAGAATATGTTGCTATTTTATTCTTGGAATTGCGCTGAAATAAAAGCTGGGCGGCAAAGTCCATCCAGCAAGAGAACGGCCTGTAAATTCAATTCGGCGATTTGACTGCACGAAGAAATGTGCTTACCAAAAACATTGAAACACGCATACGTACAAAGACAAATTATAATTCCCGTGTAACCATAACAGCCTTTTGGCGCAAGTGCTAAAAGCGAGTTGCACTTATGAAGACCTGCACGGCACGCGAAGGGGGTGGGTGGCTAGCACCACGCCCGGGTGGCCATTGCACCAGGTACTCAATTAAGGCTGAGTTGACCTAGGGGAGGGCCAGAACCAGTTCACTGGTGTTGGTTATGAGTGGGAATCTAACTCGTAGTAGCACAGCGCGCTAACCACTGCGCCACCGCTCTCCCCACACACTCAGCGCGTGTCTGTGCATCAGTGTGAATGCACAGACACGCGCTTGCATCCACACTGGTATGCAGCACGATGTTATGCTATATTAGAAAAGAGTTTTCGCTCGCTCGCTGACTGAGCACTAGTGGTGAGTAAGCTCTGGTGGGTTTAAAAGCGATGGGTTTAGGGCAGGGGTCAGTAAACCAAAATAACAAGATAGAGCCAATTTTTTTTGAAATGGGTAAAAAAAAGAAACCCTCCATATTTGAAGAGCCGCAATGCAACGTGGTGAATAACGTCACGATGCGGTTACCTTAAAGAGCCGCATGCAGCTCCGGAGCCGCAAGGTTTCAGATCCCTGGGTTAGGGGTTGTGCCGTGTTCATGAACGCGCGTTCATGAACACGTGTTCATGAACGCATATTCGTGCCCTCAGACAGACGGACGTAAAAAAAATTGCTGGAATTGCAATAATGTAGTGGTTGGCACACCAACTGCCCCAGTTTGAATCCAGCGACGGCTAACATCAGTGGTGATTTTCTGAACCGGTCCTGGACATCCCCTAGGTTGATTAAGCCTTAAATCAGTCCCTGGTGCCGTGTGTTCACATCAGTGAAACAAAAAGGGGGTCCAGGAGTTTTTCTGGCCCCACTGCCCCAATTTTTGCCGTGTCGGCCTTCATCGGGTGCTTGATGATAGCCCCGACAGTCTGTACTCTGTAGGCTATACATGAGATCTTCATCTTTGTTCTGTGTGTTTTGTATGCATTGTGTATGCGTTGGGTATGTTGTGTACGATAGATATGTTGGTTATGTCATGTGTATGTGGTGTGTATGTTGTGTATGTATTATGCATGTTGTGTATGCATTGTGTTGTGCATTCGTTGTGCGTTGGCGTTGTGTATACTGTGTTCATACGCGGTGTGTATGTTGTGTGTATGTTGTGTGTATGTTGCGTACACTGTGTATGCGTGCGTGCTCAGTCTCTGGTGCAGGGGGAGTCAGAGCTGCGCTTCCAGCAGCTGATGCGGGAGTACCAGGCCCTCCAGAGGGCATACGCTCTGCTCCAGGAACAAGTGGGTGGGTCCCTGGATGCAGAGCACGATGCCAAGGTACTACGCAGCTACTACTACTACTACGACAGGCTTTACCACGCATGCACGACTTGACATCTAGTACTACATGATACCACAGCCACTAATTAAGCCTGTTACATGACTACAAACAGTACTTCTGGGCCTTGCGGTGGCGAGATGTTAACTCCCTCTCCCGGTATGCAGGAGATCGTGGGTTCGATCCCCACCCTAACACCTGTTAGGGTAGGGATCTCTCTCCCCGTGGTCGTGTGGATTTTTCTCCAGGTCCTCTGGTTTCGAGTATTTGGCTGCTATAAATGTCCACGTAATTGGCCACTTCGTTGAGCTCCTTTGTGGCCAGGTCGCTTCTGAAAAAGAGCTATATAGCTCAGTGGGCCTTATCTGGTAAAGTAAAAAAAAAATTTTATAAAAAAAATGATGAGAATTGTTTTTTTCCCTTTTTTCTGGCAACAAAACTGAAACCTTTTACAAGGAATCATGTCTGCATTAACCACAATTCTTGTGGTCAGAATGCAAACAAAAAACATCCTCTGATAATTATTACTCTGATAATTATCAGAGTATGTGGCCACTTCCTGGAGTCGTGGAGTTCTGCCATTACTCGTACGGTACATTTCATTAAAGCGTGTTTCTAAAAAAGTATTTTTAAATATTACCTATTACGTCTCTCATTGCAGTCGTACCTTTACTTTTTAATTGCGTCTCATCGATCTTCAACCTCGCAGCCGTCTTTGTGAAGCTCTTCAATCAATTCCTTGAGCTCATTTCCATCAGTTCCATCACCGTGTTGTTTTCGCGAATCAGAGATGTTTTACCTTACATCCATTCATAACTACAGTTTTAATTTCTTCCATCGAGCTTTCATGAAATGTTGTCGTATGGTCGCTGCAAATATCTTGCGGCGGTGAGCGCATTTGTCCTTGCCCGACTGCTCCAACTCCGTCAAAGCGCGTGTGGAGCGTTTGGTGCGGGCCCCATCATTACATGCTCCAGAGTGTGAGTCGGAGCAAGTGTGGAGTTTGTGACGATGGGGCCCCACAGCAGTTTTTGTGTCCGTGCTCATGTCCAGGCACGAGAGCAGATGCACGAGGAGCTCATGTACCTGCAGGCAAAGGTCGCGGATCTGGAGAGGGTCCTCATGGAGCACGGGCAGGGCAAGGTGAGGTGTCCTCCGTTTCGCCTGCCTGGCCTTGCTATGAGCATCACAACAGAATCAGAATCTTTATTTAGACTGTAGGAGGAATTCGGTGAGCTATGAAGCTCTGTTTCACGGATGTCCAGAATGGGTAGGTCATCACGTCACCTCCCTTCAGCTGGCTACAGAAAGACTCAATGCAGAAGATCCCTGGTTCTGATCTTCCACGAACCTCATGGTCCATTCAAAACCACATCCGCGCAAACCATAGCAGTTGCGGATACCTGATACTCAAATGGAGAATTAAAATCTCCCCAATGTGCGACTGTGATCATCTGAAACATACCGTATAACGTATAACAACGCAATGCACCGATCCATTAATATGAAGGAGACAATCACAGCGATACACTCCGCTGCTCCTGACGCGGATGTCTGGCTTGACCGCCTAAATGTGATATTGTAGTTGTTGCTCTGCATCTACATCAACCGTACGAAAGAAGAAGAAGTTTGCTACAGTGGCTGTTTGAACTTACAGTGTCACTTGACGTTAACAGATTTCCCTACTGGGTGGGACTTCGTGGTCGTGCTGAGCGGCCCTCTCAAGGGTGTTTTCCTGTTGTGCCGCGCGTCGTTGGGCACGATGTCCGACGTTTCGCTCCGCGTGCTGCTGCGAGCTTCTTCTGGACGCTGGTTCAAGGAAGCTCGCAGCGCGGTGGAGCTGTGTGTCGGACATCGTGGCGAATTACACGCAGGACGACACGAAAACGCATCGGAGGGCAATTTTTCAACATTTGGAATTGGATGTCGTTGGTCTTTGTTCCAAGTCACCTTTTGCATCACGTTGGCCTCATGTTATTTAAAAGTTAGTAAAGTACACACATAATACCTACTTTCCCTGTTCAGCATATTACTAATCTTTATGAGTTACAGTGTAGTTTACTTAACGTTTACAAACTCATAAGTAATGCATTTAATCGGTCAATTTGATTAATTTTATAATAGCAACTTTAAACATTTGATTATGGTAGGGGTTGCGATTTTGTCAAATAATAAACCTTATTATAAAGTAGTTGGCATAACAGCGAGCACAGTCACAGTTGGGCATCGCCACAAATGTCTGTTCATGCGGGTGATATGCGACGTCTAATCAGTTAACTTTGCGGTGAGGTTGGCAGATCACAAAGAGGTGAGCGATGGTGTAGGCACGGTACGCAACACGTGGGGAAAGAGGGGGCTCGAGGGGGGCAGTACAGCAAGCGTGGAGTTTGGTGTGGTTTTTGTTGTTGTTGTTGTTGTTATGCCGCAAGGGTTTTATCCAAAGGGAATGCAACATTTCTCACGAAGGCAAAACTGTCAAAAAACGAATTGAGTGAGTAGTCAAAGGTGGGCTGTCCTGTTAAAGAGCATTCAAATATTCGGTAGGACTTTCCTTGGTTAAAGCCAAGGCAGCCAACGCTGGTTACGCACACAGACCTTGTACGTATGTATGTTGAACTTCTTTCACACCTTATGTTGGCCAACTGTGCTAATCGGAGGTACGGCCTTGTAAGGCCTCGTGTGTTTATGTCCGACGCAGTGTGCTTGTAACAGACGTTACCCGTCGACCCCACCTCCCTCCCCACCAGTGTCATGGAAGCCCATGTTGCTTATATGAGAACCCTGCCTATATAAGGTGTGCTTATATCCAGCCATAGATAATTCATAGCTCCCCGTCCTTTGTGAGAAACCTTTGTGAGCAATGCAACTTTGCGCCTTCACATACGACAATATATTGCAATTACAGTATGCTCGCGCTGTCGATGTGTTCCACTTTAATGATGAAGGTTTACACAGCAGCTCAATATTGAGGACAATAGGTTGTCTGCAATTTGATAAAATTGCTCGCGGCACAGCGCGTACTTACGGACAGCGTACAGCGGATGTTAAAACGTAAGTTTCTTGTTGTAGAAAATCAGTGCCTGAAAATAGTCTACCGCAAGGAAAAACATCTTGTTCTCGGAGTAAATAACGTGTAATTTGCGTGGGTTTTGTTTTGTTATATTGCAGGAAATTAAATGGATTGAAGAAAAACAAGAACTTTATCGGAAAAACCATGAGCTGGTTGAAAAGGTGATTAAGATAAGTGCGAATGTTTGAGCTGCACCCGTGTGCATCTGCACTGACCACACGTTCACCTACTGTCACGATCGCAGTACTGTCAAGGTAGAGGTGCAGGTAGAGGTGCAGGTCACGTGTGGTGGGCTAAAGTGTGAGTACTCTCCCACCGCGTCAAAAATGTCTGGCCAGCGTGGAAAAAGTTCTGCAGGTCAAAATACCCCTGAGGTGGGATTTCTAGGGCCCCCTCTAGCGGAGGCCCTTCCACCAACAGTGGCATGGGCATGTAATTGCAGGATGTACTTTTACCTTTATATGTATGTGTTGAACTTCTTTCGCACCATACGTAGCCAACCATGCTAATCGGAGGTGCGGCGGAAGGACAACAAACTAAACACAAAGAGCAGTTCGAATGAAATTAGTTTTCGATCTAGATTTAAAAGTGCATAGCACCAGTGGCTTCCTAATATGGGACGGAAGAGCGTTACGGACGGCCGCAGAAGCGCGTCTGAAAAGTGCACAATGCGGTTGACCGCGGGAGAAAGAGCCTCCCACCTGCTGGAGCTCTCGGGATTCCCTCCAGAGCAGTGGTTCATAACGTGGGACGCACGCACCCCCTGGTAGTGCGAGACGTGGCCAGATTCTTCTAGAAGGTGAATCATCGAAAGACGAATTCAGCATGGGCACGTAAGTACAACTACTTTGTTTCATCAAACCCCTGTGTATTTATGAACATTGTAATTTTTTTTTACGATTGAGAACCAAAGGGGTGCAAGGCTGCAGCGCAGGTTAACAACCACTGCTCTCGAGGCTATTTTGCCACTCCATCTACACCGGACAGATGTCTCTGGAATTTTTGCTGCAGCCTTGCAGCCCTTTGGCTCTCAATTGACCTGCCGATCGACCGAACTGGGGGTGTAACCGTTTATATTGCCGCTGTGCCAGGAGAATGATCCTGCCACCTCTGCATTGTTGACCCAGTGCGCTAACCATTGCACACAGCAGTTTGAGAACTGGAGATACTACTACTACATCAGCCCAACCAGATGCTCCCCCCCTGCCACACAACTAAATCTTTCGTGGCCAGTCATTACTATCTTGAAAAATAGTTTTTTGCTCTTAAGAGGCGATTATAAAACGTTGTAAGGCTCGAGCAAGCCAGTAGACTATTGTACGGTCATCTGGCTTTCAGCGCAATTTCCTTGTGGCCGGACTGTAGACTCCAGTCACATGGTGTAGCGTCGGACAGAACCCCCTACTCAATATCGCGCGGCTGTCTCACGTCTCGCGTTGTCACCTCTCACTACAAAACACCGGAATATGTCATGGGACAAACAATATCTCACAAGAGCGGAAGAGGGGAGGGCGAAACGTAAATGTGTTGCCTTGTGGTTTCTTTCACATTCAATGCTGCTGCATATACTCTTTGCTTCTTTCGGTAAAGTCACGTAGATGAAAAATTTAAAGAATAATACAAATAATAAAATGAAAATAACTCAATTAAATCACGACGTTTCGGAGGCAACACAAGCTTCCGTCATCAGGTGGAACAGCCGCAGCAAAATTACTGTAGTGAGTAGAGAGAGCTATTTGTGACAAGCGAATATATAGGGTAAGAGGGGGGAGGAGCCAGGGAGGAGGGATGCAGGGGCGGGGGGCTGCTGCATATGTTTGCATGCTTGTGCTGTACAGCTCTCCGATGTGTTTTCAGCGTGTTGTTCGGCACGATGTCCGACGTTTCGCCCCGCGAGCTAACGAAGCTCCAGGCTTCCACCCCTCTTTCCCCTGCTCCCTCTATTCCCTTACTTAAGTTCTTCCTCCTCATCTTCCCTTCCCCACATGAAAGTACAACACATACCCCGCTCGCGGTCCCCAATTGGGTGGGGCAGTGACTCCCATCTCCTCTAAAACCAGGAGCGGAGGAGTCGTCACCTATGTACCTTCATCTCTGCGTTGCGGTTAGTGCTTTGTACCGAGCTCTTATATACACAGGGTGCTTAAAAAAAATGTTAACACTTCGGAGAATTTGCAACAATACCGCAATAAATGTTTATCCGGCCTCTGGAGACCACCTGTAGAAGATTCCAGGCGTGAGGCATGTGTCGGCAATGATTGCAAACATGTGGAGACTCTTTGACTTTTTGAAGCTATTAACATACATTTGTTATCATGTTACAGTGTATTATTCATTCTTTTTCCATTGTTGTCAAGCACCCTGTATATTTTGTATTCAAATTTTGATTTAAAGTTTTCGTGACTGCAGGGATTCATATTCTTGGTTCTTTCGGTAAAGTCACGTAGAAGGGAAACAATCAAATAAGAAAAATATAAAACAATAAAATTATCACGACGTTTCGATTGCAACACAAGCAATCGTCATCAGGTGTGAAACCTACAGCAAGAAAATTTGAAAAAAGTGGCGGTTTTTTCTTAACGTTCGCACCAGGGACAGCGACTTGGCAGTTCAGATGGACGAGTCCATATAATAATATAAATAAACTCCCGGCACGTCGAACGAGACATCGGACAACACGAAAGCGCATCGGGGAGCCCCTTCGCCGAATCGGCATAATGCGCGGCTTCCACAGGAGAAACGCTCGATTCCCTTCTTGCAGATCCGGAGCCTGGAGACGGAGGAGGACCGCCTGAAGCGCGACATCCAAGACGTACGAGACCAGAACGAGCTGCTGGAGTTCCGCATCTTGGAACTGGAGGTTTGTCGCGCGGCCGTCGCCGCCGCCGTCGTGAGCTCACTGTTGTGCTTAAATAAAATAAGCCGGGAGATCCGCGCACCTCAGTCGAGCGAGCGGGAACTCCTCGTCGTAAGGTTGTGAGTTCACACCCCAATAACGGCTGAACACCCACCAGGGTTGCCGACGACCCGGGTTTTGGTATTCCCGGGCCGTTCTATTTTGGAGTGCCAATTCGAGAGTGAATCTGCAGCGAAATGTCATCCTCACCTCCAGACGTGTTTTTACGTTTTATTTTTGTGCACGGCAATTTGTCTGTAATTCTGCGAGGCATTTTCTATAACTCGCTGGGCACACTAACACGTCGTGTGCCGTTTACGTTGAACATTAGATCTTGATTACACACACTTATCGCATCTTATAAAGATGGATATAGCGCCTGAGTCCAAGGTGATTTGCAATGATTATAAAATTGTAGGGAAGATAATAATGGTTGAAATACAGAGTGGGGTTGTTAGCAGTCGTTAGGAACCTGGTGCCGATTTTTGTCGCGTTAGGGGTGCTAGGCTTGACCTGCTGACCATGCAATGCACATGTTGAACAGGTCTGCCGTCAAGTCACTGCTGTGTCATGTGACTTGTGTCGTCTTTACATGGCAGTGCAGTCTCCTAGAGTGCGTGTTTTCAAAATCCGAATTGGATATAACGCGATTAATGTATTCGGGAACATTTATTATGATGCCGATGCGAATCGGATATAATGCGATTGAGCGAACAGAACTACGTCACGCAAGTAGGAATAAGCAGTTGTATGACTGCCTCTGCGTAGCACCGCACAAGGTGGGATGCTGCTGGATGCTTCTAGATGCTTCCCACGCGTCTCAGTCTTTGTTCGGGCCTGCGTACGCATCTCACGCATTATCGCGGACTGTGCTTTACCCTATGTCATATATGATTTATTATAACGCGATTTTTGCATGACGCGGTGTTCTTTAGGAACGCAATTACCGCATCGTAGGAGAACAGACTGTACCTATGAATTACAATTTACAAATACATTGATTCAAGCGAATACATGCACGCGAACCACGATGCCAACTCTCTCTGCAGCATTGATTCGAGCTCACAGTGACATGGTGGTGACCACTGTGCCTACCTCTCCTTGCAGGAAAGGGAACGCACCTCCCCATCCATCACTCTCACGCCGGTACCTTGCCCTGAGGGCACAAGTCCCCTGCAGCAATTCTGCACGTCCGAGGGCATGGCGGTGAGACCTGTGTTTGTGACGCGATGTCAGTTTGCGTCACGGTCGTGCCATCGGCGTCAGCTGACGCGTCAAAAATCCGTTCGCCAAATATCTTCGAACGTCCCTGGGCGATGACACCACGACGTCACTGCTCTAGTCGCTTCAGTTGTGCGTTCTTGAGCAGCGCCCGATACCTGTGTATCGATCGTTCAATGTTCATGTGCCGTTTTATTGTGGGACTACTACTGTGTGTTATCATATTGTGGTCTGGGACTGTTTTGTTGGTTTTTTCTCCCTTGCCCTATCTTGATCAATCTGATTTAAATAAAGATTCGATTAATGTTTTACTTACCTTTAGTGACTTGCCATTTTCTCTATTTTGAACTCCTATCGTTTTTTTGTATTGTTAGTTGTTGTAATTTGCTGACCCGCCATTACTGGACATCTGTGAAGAAGAGCTTCATAGCTCATCGGATTCCTCCTCCAGTCTAAATCAAGATTCTGAATCTCATGACTCTTTTGTGCTCTGTAAAGAGCAGTCGACCACACGATTTGTTTCTTAATGTTGCGCCTAGAATTGTGTCGGGTTGACTCAACTCAAGAACACACAAAGTGCAAATTTTTTTATCTAAGTTATGACATCACATTCTTTGGGCCAACATTGATGACCAGGGGGTTGAGCTGAGGTGTAGTGGTTCGCACATTGTACTATGCACCCACTGCTGACCTGAACTGGATTTCTGACGATGACTAACATCAGCGGGAAATGATTTCTGAACTAGTCTGGGAATCCCAATCACTAACCCACAGTCTCCAGCATGATAAAGTTTGATGAAACAACCCACGCGATTGAAAGGCATGGGGAGGCTTTAATCCAGCAGTGGATTGACAAAGGGCTGTAAATCATTCTTACTATTTTATTATTGACCAGACGGTGACCGTAAACTCGCCACACTCGTGAAGCCGATTTGAAAACGGGTGGCTGCACAGATTCAAGTCGAGTGTGGGAGCATATGTCCAACCGGCGCGTAGCAGCATCTACCATGTAGCACCAACCCCTCGGACCTTCCCTGGCAAATTCCCCACGCGAGCGCCGTTCCCACCCCCGAGACTCGATAGTAACGATTCTGATGCAGCAGATACGCAACTCAGGAATTGTCGTCGTGTTGACTGTGATCGGCGCATTAACCCGCAGACACGTTCAATTGAAATGTTGTTTCAAATGTTTAACTTCTTTCGCACCGTACGTAGCCAACCGTGCTAACCGTCAACATTTTCACCGGTCACTGCCTTCTGCATTTTAGGAAATCAAATGATGAAGGAGCATTTAATTCCATTCCAGATTCATCTTACCACACCAGAGTGTCTTATCTCATTGTGGAATTTCCCAAAAGGTGGCATCTATACCCAAAAATGTGTATTTATGTTACCGCACCCTCCCCCCCCCCCCCCCCCCAGTAAGGCAGTACATAAAAAATTGTTCTTACAATTTTGCTGCACTGCACTGAGTCCCACAATGCTGGTGGAATGCTCTTTCCAATAATCCAAGGCAATCTAGCAGCCTTTGTGTGGTTAGCAGACCGTAATCCTGCTGATGAGGGTTAGAAAGTCGGAGCTGCTCAAGTGTTCGGCTGTTTAAACACAAAATCTCTCAAATATTGTTCTGTAAGGCTGATGGGCATAACGTTATTTTAATATTTTAATATTCTTGCCAGTTAAATAACTCCGAGTTGTTCCCAAAACTAGATGTGTAACGTCACAGATATTTTCGGTTGCGCAAAGTTATAACGTTAATTTTCAGTACAGAAAAAAAATACATTGATATTTTAACTACAGGTAGTTTAATATGTTCCATGAATACTGCATGAAGTTATGAAACGTCATCTTATTGTTCTGCCCTTAGGACATTACCATAACGGAGTTGATGAAGAAGCTGGACATTTTGGGAGATAATGGGGTGAGTAATAATGATGTCCATCTTATAACTTTACTTTTGTACTTTTTTAAAATGTAATGTTAGAGTGGCTGCTATGCTTTTGTAAATGTGCTTTTAGTATTCCTAAGTATTCTTTATTTAGGCCCTGGTTCGTGAGATCTTGGTTTTTACTGCATCAATTTATACCGGTTCAAATGTTATTTCCGAGTATATCATGGCCAGCTACAATGATAATTCAAATTTATTATCCTTTCCCAGAATATGATTCGTAGTACGTGTGTGTTTTACGACCGAAAAACCTAGCCACACCACCTCCACATATTCTCTGCTGGCTATAATATATGCCACACAACCTACAATTCAGGGGATCTTTATGTAACAGATATATCTCTAACATGTATCAAATAAGAAATGCTCTTACGAGTGGTTTGAATGTGCATTGAATTAAAGGGTCAAAATTCGTCTTCCAGCCAAAAAACGATTTGAACTAGGAAGTGATTATTGTCAATGTCCAAGGCCCATCATGGTATATCTTCAGCATTTGTCTGAAGTGTACGTTGAGTAGATTGAACAATACACATGTAAAACAAAGTTGGTTCGGGGCATTTAAAAAATCGTATTGTTTTAGCTGCACACATAAGTGGAAAGAATAAATGAGTAGAGGAAGATAGAAAACCATGCGAATAGATGCAGTGGTAAATTATCTAAAAGAGACAGGATTGAGAGTGAGCGAAGCGGTGATACCTGCTAAAGACAGAAAATCGCAGTGGAAATTCACCCAGCCCCATTGTCACGAATGAGCTGCTCGAAGGAACAGATGTTAATGATGATAAAGGTGTTGACTTTAAAATTATACAAATAGTTTTGCCACATTCAAACATAATGAAAACGTCTTTACACATTTGCATATTAAATTTCCGGCAGGGGTGTTGCTTCAATGGTTATGCATTTGTTTTGTCAAATATTCTTTTAAACCTTTTGGCAAATCCTCATTGCAGTGCACGGTTTTACAATGACGGGCATGGTGGCACATAAATTACATCAAGTGATTTGGAGTTACGTGTGTGAGGGTTTTCAATGGGTTCCAAGGTTTATTTCCACATGGAAAACACTAAGTTAGGAATTTGCCCAACATCCCAATGCAGGACCCTTTGAGGAATGTTTTGAGACTCAGTGATGCTTTCCTTAATAAATTACTCAATTTCTTGACGTTATTCACTATAAGTAATGGTGTGTTCCTTTTATTGTTATTTTAAAATGCTTTGAAAACATATTGTTTAAAAGTGTAACGTCTCGCTTTATCTTACAGAATCTATCAAACGATGAACAGGTTACCATTATCCATGCCCGAGTTGTGCTTACTCTGGCCGATAAGGTAAACGTTATCTCACATTGAGATAGATACATGCATGCACTATAATTTAGTCGTGTAATTAAATGTTTAAAGTGCCTGCAGCGGCTTGAACAGATTCTTTTCAACAGTGTGGAATTTATCCCATAGCTAATTCTGCTATACAGGCGGTCGCCGACTGCAGTCGGTTCAACTTGCGTCAATCGGCACTCACGGCAGGTCGCCAATCGCCACCCCCTTGTTATTACTTTGCCACAAATGAACCGCAATACCTTGCTGACCTCGCCGAGGAGCGTAAATCGTCACCCAAACTCCGGTCATCCTCGCAGCGGCTTTTGGCTGGCCATCGAACAAAGACGGTCACCGCATTGCGACCTTTCAGATGCGCTTCTGCGGCCGTCTGGAATGCTCTTCACTTCCAACATTAGGAAGGCATTATATGCTTTTAAATCTAGATCAAAAATTAATTTCTTTAGAACTCCTTGTTGTGTTTAGTTTGTCGTCCTTCCCCTGCACCAGCGATTAGCACGGATGGCTACGTACGGTGCAAAAGAAGTTCACCATACATACTTAAGGCGGTCAGTCCCGCACTTGTCGCGTGACGCTGACTCAGACAAACAAATGTACAGTACGTCGCCCGGTCACAGCTAAGACTTCACGGCGAACGAGGAGCGAAGAGCGACGGCTCTCAAGTTGATCCCCACAAACGAGGCCTGATCCCTCTCGGGGCTCCCCCTTTATTTCCCCGCCCACGGCCTCGCTCCGCTTTTGGCCACGCCCCTGCTGCGGTATCAAGTCAGGAGCTCCCGGCTCTCGGTCACGTGTCCCTCAAGCCTCCTATGGAGGTTCCCGGCGCTCAGCGGCACTCCCGAATTAGTGGCTGGCGCTAACAGCGTAGTGACCCTATTTGTGTAACTACAATATTATTAGAACACTGAGCCAGCACTATCGAGATAACTGGATTTGAATCCGAGGAGCGATTTTGTTCCTCAAACTCGGTCCTCAAGCGTAACAATTTGGTGGTCTCGCCTAGAATATCACGAAAAAAACTCATCACCCAAAAAGTAGTGTTTCATTTAGTTCCACAAGCCGGGCTATTATGGACAAGTTATAGACTGTGAGAGGTTATCGGTCCATTTAGTTTGGCCGAATAGAGGTCTCTTCAAGTGACACAATTCTGTGGTATCATCTTCAAAGTAACCCCGTCGTGATTTGACCAACTGCTAAATTGGATAGGAATAATTGGTGTTGAAATGAAATCTGACTGAAGAGAATGTGGCTTTTGAACTCGGGACAAGCAGCTCTGCTTGCTCAGTATAAATTATTTTCGCTCTCGCCGTCTGCCTTTGGCTCTTTGAGCCATCGCTTCACCGTTTGGTCCTCTCTGTGCAGTTCCTGAAGCAGATTGAGGGGAAGGAGGCAGTCCTGCAACAGAAAATGATTGACCTGGAGAAGGAAAAGGTATTGTGAATTACGTAACATTTTAGACGTAGGAAGCTAAAAACTGAGAAATGAAAAAAAGACGCAGTGGCAAAAAACTCCCATTACAGTTGAATAATAAAATATCTGGGCAGATTTTTAAGTAAATATTTTCTACTGGAATTAAACGTTCGTTTAAATCAGATGCATGCATCTTCGTGGATATATGCAGAATGCTTGCGTTTCATATGGAGTCTGTACAGTTAGTTTTACAATTCAACCGTGGCAAGTTTCAAACGGACCCTGCAATCATTGATTTACTTTTGTCGATTATGATACTAATATTTTCGTCAGGCAATTACTTATTTTCAATTTACGTCATAGTAACTTTGTAAATGTCTTGTGTTCCCTATGGGGTCAGCCGCTTACGTTTCTACAAATGGAACATTGCAACATTTCTATGGTAGCCAACAACAACGATCGTGCACCGCTAAGTGGCGGTGATGTCACCACGGCGCTTGTGCCATGCTAGGTGGACTTAGGGGCCACGTGCAGTGTCAATGGCCGGGCTGGCAGGAGGTCGTGGAACACACCCAGGTGCCATGGGTTGACTGAGCCAGTACATTGCATCACATATTGTGGTTGCTTGAACCACAATACCTCAATGAGCTCGTCAAGAATCATAAACCATCACGTGAACTCGGGTCATCCTCGCGGCTAAAGCCACTGCTGCGGCCATTTGGAACACTCTTCCGATATTCGAAAGCCACTGGAGCTATACACGTTTAAATCTAAATTGGAAACTCATTTCATTAGAACTGCTTTTTTGTGTTTAGTTTTGTTGTCTTTCCCCCGCACCTCCGATTAGCATGGTTGGCTATGTACGGTGTGAAAGATGTTCAACACACACACACGTTTAAGCTTGTTTTTACACCAAACTGAGCAAAGTGTGTTCTTGTTTGAACGTTGGCCTCTGGTGTCCGTCGCAGGAGCTCTTCATTAAGCAGAAGGGCTACCTGGAGGAAGAGCTGGATTATCGCAAGCAAATGCTGGATCAGGCGCAGATGGTGAGTGCTCCCGTGCGCCCCTTGCTTGTGGGAGGTTGGTGTCACCGCATTTGGTTGTGGAAAATAAACTCAAAACAACACAACTCTTGGGTCCATCATGCACTGGTGATCGATCCACTCTGTTAAATGGATTACTCCGTTGATGATCTCAGCAGGTCATATCAAGTTCAGATGTTTGCTTAATGCAACCTAACCATTGGCAACTAAAGTCTATCAATATATTTATTGAATGACATGGAGCAAAGCAGTCTCTATTGGGTAAGAGATGCCCTTTAAAGCGACTCCACTAGTAGTTTTGGGACATCGTCTTCTGGAGTGATCGCCGATCACAAGGGAGGTAACGTGTGTGAATGAAAGGACTTTTTTTGCCTCGCGTAAAATTTGCTCAATTAACACACGTAAGATAATGTAACTAAAACTTGATTTGAAGCTTTCGTGACAGCAGGAATAATTTTTTGGTTCTTTCGGTAAAGTCACGTAGAAATAAATAAATTAAATAATAGAATACGACGTTTCGATTGCAATACAAGCAGTCATCAGGTATCACTAAATTTGAGAGAGACAAAACACAGACACGGAGACACACAGACAGACACACAAGCAGATAGAGACAACACAGAGACACACAGGGAGAGAGACACACAGAGACACACAGGGAGAGAGACACACAGAGACACATAGGGAGAGAGACAACACAGAGACGCACAGGGAGAGAGACACACGTGTCTCTCAAATTTAGTTCTACCTGATGACGACTGCTTGTGTTGCAATCGAAACGTCGTATTCTATTATTTAATTTATTTTCTTTCGACGTGACTTTAGCGAAAGAACCAAAGAGTAATGTAACTAATAAGTATCTTCACCATGGTATTACCATGCCTGTTAATTAGTTGTGGTGTTGTGCTTTGTTGTTGTACAAAAGGTCCTTCGTGCCCTTCATTTAGTTGTTGTGGTTGAAGGCATCGAGATTTACTTCCCAAAGCATTATCATCAGTTCTTTTCGCGCAGTAAACGTCCCACTGAGTTAAATTTCGATTTAAAGCTTTCGTGACTGCAGGGATTCATCTTCTTGGTTCTTTCGGTAAAGTCACGTAGAATGGAAATAATAAAATAATAAAAATAAAACATAATAAAATACAATTCTAACGACGTTTCGGCCACAACGCAAGCAGCCGTCCTCAGGTGAAGACTATTATGTTTTATTTTTATTATTGTATTATTTCCATTCTACGTGACTTTACCGAAAGAACCAAGAAGATGAGTCCCACTGAGTTGTTAAAGCTCATTTTGGATTGCTGATTGGTTTGCTTGTCCCAAACCTCATGTGCAACTACTGCAGGCTGTCTTTGTGATAGACAGCGCATTCCATCGTGATGGCATGGGCACTGCAACAATGGTAGCGCGAATACTAAATGTACGTGTATAGTTCCCAATCATAACACGTGGTACAGTTTATTCCTGACAACAACAACGGCACTCATCCCGATGCCCCTTTCGGATGCATCCCAGAAAGTGTGTTTGTCGAACTTTTTTCGCACCGTACGTAGCCAGCCGTGCTAATCGGAGGTACGGGGGGGGGGGGGGGAAGGACAACAAACTAAAAACATAAAGCAGTTCTAAAAATAAGTATAACCAGTAAAAACAAAGTTTTTCACTATAAATCCTTTATATGCGTGGCGGCTAGAGTCCTCTCGTCCTCTGGCTTGAGATGGCTGCCACCTATGGGTCAGATGATTGTCTGCCAGTATTAAGCAATTGGTAATTAAATATTTAATTTGTTTTCCCTAAAAAGTGTAAAATCTTAGGAAAAAAATTTCACGAACATTAATTGTCTCGCACAACGAGTCTGTGTGCAAAATGTCAGCTCGATTGGATCACGGGAAGTGGGTTAAAAAACGACCGAAAGATTTGCACGGTCGTAAGCAAGCAAGCAAGCACGCAAGCAAGCAAGCGAACTTAATATAAAGGGTTTAAAAACGAGTGTTGCTGAAGCCATCTCTTCCTCCCCGTCGCCCCCCCCCACCCCACGTGGCCCCTGTCGCACTTCCGTTTTGCCGTGTCCCGCGTGGCAGCGTGTGCTGGAGCTGGAGGCGACGCTTGTACCACGTGCTGCAGCAGGAGGGCAGCAGCGAGGCGGGCGCCGGCGTCAAGCCGAGCGATCGGCAGCTGTCGGAGCTGCGCGGCGCCGCAGAGCAGTGGCGCCGCCTCGTGGTGAACGAGACGCGGCAGCACGATGCGCAGGTGCTGCGAGACCGCATGGAGCTGCTGCACCAAGCCCTGCACGTACGAGGCTCGCGCGCGCGCACGCACACGGACACGCACGCATACGCACGTATGAGGCGCATGGAAAGATCGACCGTATATAGCCTTAACAGACTGTTGGGGCAAGTGCCGTTAGCGAGGAGCACCTATGAAGGCCGGAACGGTACACGAGGGGGTGGGTGGCCAGCACCACGCCCGACCGCCTTTGTCTCCCCCGGTGGTGATGTTTACACACCTGCACCAGGTACTCATTTGAGGCTGAGTCAACCTAGGGGAGGCCCAGGACCGGTTCAGATAATCGTCACTAGTGTTGGCTAACCGCTACACCACCGCTCCCCAGGCGCATGCACGCATGTACACACGTGCAAGCACGTGCACAGACGCGCCTTGGGGTTGCCGCGACATGGTGATGCTACGATACAAGGGCCACGATAATGCTCCCATCCGCTTTTCAAGATATTGTCGTAATGTGTTTTTTTGTCTCATTACATTTTTTAATTAACAAGTTAAACGTCACAAGAATAGAGAAAGTAAAATAAAATAAAGCGCTTTCATACGAGTGAAATGTTTTACTCTGCTTCCACCTGCTCTGTAACCTCCCATGATGGGATTTTAATCTAGGGTCTCAGTATTGCTGGCTCAGTTTGCTCAATCATGCAGTGCTGGAGACAATATTGCGTGTTTTTTTTTTTAAACAACTTTGGGTTGAGTTTAATTGAGCCTGAGACCATTCGTTGGTAACCTGGCCTCGATGGAGATGGGAAGTTTGCTTCGCACATGATTAATCTCCACACTCAGGGCTCCAACTTGGCTTTGTACTCGCCCTAGATGTAATCGTGCAGTGCTGTTGTTTGTGCCACTTGTCAATGTGGGTTCCTGCAGAGGATACGAGACCTTGAAGATAAGCTGGACCGTCAGATACGGCAAATTCAGGAGCTCGAAGAAAAGGTAACTACCTACCTGTGCCAGTGATAATTATAACGCTTAGAAACGGGACTGTACATTTTAAAAAGTATAAAGTATGTCATAATGTTTAATCAAGGTTTACAAATTCTTGGTTCTTTCGGTAAAGTCACGTAGAAGGGAAATAATAAAATAATACAAATTTAAAAATTAATTCTCACGACGTTTCGACTACAACACACCTGATGATGATTGCTTGTGTTGCAGTCGAAACGTCGTGATAATTTTGTTGTTTTATATTTTTATTATTTAATTATGTCCCTTCTACGTGACTTTACCGAAAGAACCAAGAATATGAATCCCTGCAGTCACAAAAGCTTTAAATCAAAATTTAAGGTTTACAAACTTAAAGGGAAAAACTAAATTCTGTCCTAACGGTTGCCTAAAAAAGGCTTTTAAAAAAGTATGTAAAGCAATCCGCAATGTGGAAGACATGGATGTATGTTACCATCATATGGGCTCATCAGCATGCCAGCTGTACTCTGCTGGGAAGGGCCAGAAGGTCGTGGGCATAACGGTAATAACATGGCCCATAGAGTGGTACTTATTTTACCGACCCCAGGTACGATGGGCTGAATTGACTCCCAAATGCGATTCATCAGATCTATGAGTCTAGTACTCTAACCACTGTACTAGGTATTAGCACATTTATTTTTCTCAGAGTAAAAGTACTTTAAAAAAAAAAGTCAGCAATTTTTATGGCGAAACTTTCAGAATGACGAACTTGAATACGTGAAGACAAGCCAATGAGTTTATATATATTCCTTGTGCTTCCTTTGGTCCGTTTGTTTTGTTTTCCCCTTCCAATTTATATTTTTTAGTTCTTCTTTTTGTTTTTATTTTTCTCCTTAGCATTCATTGTCTGGTCATGAAGGCTCTTCAAAGGATGGAATCGGTGAGATAAAAACCAAGCTCGCAACCCCTCAGCCACGTTTATCCACACACTGCACGCAGCGCGATTTCTCGCCCCGTTGGTGAGATATTATCTGCCTCGCCTGGTACACAAGAGGTCATGGGTTCGTTTCCTGACCCTGACGCCTGCTGTATATTCGGAGTTTGCATGTTCTCCCCGGGGATTTTTTTCCGGGTCCTCCGGTTTTTTCCCTCTACATTTAGAAACATGCGTTGAGAGTATTTGGCTGCTGCTATATATTTCCACGTGATGAGCCACTTTGTTGAGCTATCATATGTGGCCAGGTCGCTTCTGAAAAAGAGCAATATAGTTAAGTGGGCCTTACCTGCTAAAATTAAAAATAGATTGATAGTTTAAAATGTTAAATAGTTTAGTTTAATTCAGGTCTTGACTTCCTTCCACATTTGTTCAATATTTGTTTTTGTATAAAACTACCACGAGGCCTAACCCAACAACAGAATATGAAGCATTGCATTGGCTACTAAAACCTATGTTTTAGGTTAAGCTGTTGTCACACACACACCATGTATAAACGCATCATCGGGACCACAAATGTTGTTTGTCTCTGTGAATTCTGATAACAGATCAAATCGAGCTAATGTCCTTTATCTAACTGGATGAGGCCCATTAAGATTAATTTAGCATTTTGCGAGGAAGACTGTGGAGTGGAATTTTACACTGGAAAAAGTCAGTGTCTCCTGGAACAGTTAATGGGTGTTGCTCATCTCTGTCAGATATCATGAGCAAATGGTGGCAGTTCCCCATTACGAGGGCAGGGGCCAGTCTTCCCATTTGAGAAACCATTGTTAACCTCCCATTAAGTGGTTCTCATTTTATTGAGTTCAGATAGATGGTTGGCTGAGTTGACTCCTGACCTGAGATTTGAACTTGCTCTTGACTGTGAGTCGAGCATTCTAACCACACCAGATCTTGGGATACCCAAAGTTTTCAAAGTTATCTCTGATTTGTTGATATGTTATAGTTCAATTAGATTTGAGATATTATAACTGCATACAATCGCCTACTCTTAGTAATGACATGACTACTTTTTTTTAATCTTCACTTTATGGGAGATGACACATTTGTTAATTCCTTACATAAATTACTGGCAATAGAACCATCGACTTTGTACAAACTGGCTCTTTGATGAGCATGCTGATTGGTGGGCGATGCAGCAGCATGTTAAGCCAGACATTATGCAAAACGTAATTCATGTTGCAAAACGTAATTCATGTTGCAAAACGTAATTCATGTTGCAGAACGTAATTCATGTTGCTTACTCTTGAAACGGGATCATGCTAAATGTCAATCTCCAGACAGATTAATGGTTAGAGGGTAATGTTTAATTGGGGTTTTCATCTGATTACCACTCTCTGGTTTTGTAATACATTCATCTGCAATTATTGTATAAAATTAATGGCCTGGTTGAGGTTGCCCACCCATAGAACGGGTCCGAGGGCCAATTCACATTCAGCGCGGGTCACGCCTGCTCACGCCTGCTCACTGCTTCCATGTGACTGCAATGCTGATTAAGGAAGTGGCCAGCCTCATCATTATGTCTCTGTTTAGAAGAAAAAAAACAATGATTCATCAATAAGACTTGTCATCTACGTAGTGCTCGGCACAAGGACTAAATCTCTCTTTTTTGTTTTTCTATTCCGGTCAAGCTGCCTTTTTTATTTGAATTACAGCATCAGATGCGGCTCAGTGCAGTTAAGCTAGCGTAGTAATTGATAGGGAGCATTAACTGTGGGCGCTCGTTTTACGAACGAAACCGAGTACAAAAAGCAGGGCCCATGTAAGTCACAATGCGCAGCACTGCGGTGCTGGATCTTCTGACGAATGCATGTCACGTAATGAGGGATTGTGGGGCAGAATATTAAGTTGCTGGAGACACGGAGCCGTGTTAGCAGTCTCGAAACTTTACTGAGGAGGCAGTATTTTTGAGGCCGTGGGTACGCAAATGGAGACTCATGCCTCATCCCTGGCTCGTCAAGAACAGGCCACTTCGTTTACTTGAATGCAATGGATTGTGGAGTGTATAGAACAAGGGCTGTATTAATTGTGTCATCTTTATGAAGCTATGCAATGGTAGAGAAGTGAATGCTCAGTCTGTTTTCTACAGATTTGCATTACATGTCATAACGCAAAGGATACAATCGCTTAACCTGCCTAAATCCTAACGTGCCGATGTCTGCTTCCGATGCTTTTTAAAGACACGTGTTTCATTTTAATCGCCAATCGTATCACAGATATGGCATGATGTAACGTGCCATGCTGAAATCATTTCGTAACTTCCACGTTAAACAGATTATCACAGAATGTCAGTGACGACCATTGGGAAATGCCAGCAAAGAAACGTGCTGGGTTACCTGAATAAATAGGCATTTACCATAATGAACAGGCAGCACCTCCACAACGAGCACCACTACTATGTAAAGAGTGCGTTTACGACACATCAGTCATCCAACAAAGTAATGCTTAGCCTCAGAGTAAAGCTCAGACAAACTTAATAAAAAAAAAAGAGTACATTCTGTTTTCGTGTATAAACATCATCTCACTTCTTCTTGGTTCTTTCGGTAAAGTCACGTAGAAGGGAAGTGATATATTAATAAAAATAAAACATAATAAAACAATTCTCACGACGTTTCGGCCACAACGCAAGCAGCCGTCCTCAGGTGAAAACCAGGTCTGTCGAGGCGACAGCGTCTGAATGAAACAGCACACGTGCTTGGAGCATATATATATAAGCTGGGTTGGAAGGGGGGAAAAGGGCGCCTTGACAAAAGAATATGCATATCAAGAGGCATTTAGCATATTTATGGGAAATGCAGGTCAAGGCGCCCTTTTCCCCCCTTCCAACCCAGCTTATATATATGCTCCAAGCACGTGTGTTGTTTCATTCAGACGCTGTCGCCTCAACAGACCTGGTTTTCACCTGAGGACGGCTGCTTGCGTTGTGGCCGGAACGTCGTGAGAATTGTTTTATTGTTTTATTACTTCCCTTCTACGTGACTTTACCGAAAGAACCAAGAAGATGAATCCCTGTAGTCACGAAAGCTTTAAATCGAAAAATCATCTGACTTAATTTGAAAACCGAGTGAACGAGGTCAACCACACAAGTGGCTGTCTGTAGTTTAACCTGGACGATATTGGCCTTGGCCAAAACTCGGGAATCAGTTACCCCTTGAGCCACCGTCGCACTGAAAGCCGTGGTTACATATTGGATTGGCAGCAAGGGAAATATACACATTGGCACGTGGAGATTCTACACGCTGAGCCTCCAACAACCACTGCTGACTTCACAGTTCTCATTTGATCAGCCTCAGAGGGCCAAAGGTGTCAAAATTGACCCTCAACTGGTATTTGAACTCGCAGCCTTCATAATTATTGTTCAGCACACTACTAACTTGTACTGTCGGGTAATATTAAAACTATGAAACTTTTGTTGTATTTTACAAGGTAAGGCCCACTGAGCTATACAGCTCTATTTCAGAAGTGGCCTGGCTACAAATGATGGCTCAACGAAGTGGCTTATGGTGTAGACATTTAAGATAGCCAAATACTCTAAACGCGTGATGTTGATTCTAAATGTGGAGGGAAAAACCAGAGGGCCCGGAGAAAAATCCACACCAACACGGGGAGCACAGGCAGACTCTAAATATACAGGCGTCAGGGTCGGGATCGAACCCACAACCTCAAATATACCAGGCGAGGTAGTTAACATCCCGCCACTATGTTTAGTATTACAGCAACAGCATAAATTAACTCTTGGTATAAAGGTGGCATACAGGTCACCATAGTAAAAGACATACCGAATATCAATGATTTCCACGTGGGTAAATACATGACGATGTTGTATAATTTCACCAAATACACACCTCCGATTAGCACAGTTGGCTACGTACGGTGCGAAAGAAGTTCAACACACATGCATACATTTGTGGTTACAGATCACTTTATTGAAACATACATACCTATGAGTTTAAAAAATATAACTTTTTTTGAGATGAGATTTGAATCAAAAAAAATATTCATAGAAAGATCTCCCAGACCACTCGTGATTGATGTGACAATATGTGGAAGGTAATTGACAATTCCATTATCCTCTATTTTTGTTATTTCTTTCAGATGTTGAGCCAACCCTGCCACACCTGCAGAGTCTAATGCTTGAACGAGATCACTTTCCCAGAGCGAAATCAATCAGCCCCACAAATCGCCTTGCCTTAACCCTGAGAAGCATTTAGGAGGCCGAGGGAAAGGCTTTGCAACTTACGAGCATGATTGGGGGGAGGGGGAATGAATGGCCCGATAGCAGACTCTAAACGTAAAAACACAGCGTACGTCGGAGAAAAATGCCAAAGCACAAACTGGTTAGCGGGACAGTGCAGAAGACCGAAGGTTTAACGTCGAATGGAACAATGTTTTTATAGTACGTTGCGTGTTGTGAGTGTGCAAGTTGGGAGTACAGGGTTTCTCGTTCTGAAACTGGAAATAAGACGTTTGTTTATGAAGTAGAAGCCATTGTGCTTTGAAAGCTTGCTGCAGAGAAGATGTACTGTTTGAAATAGTTTTGAAATTTAATCGAAAGCTCAACTGAAATATTTTTTTTCGGCTGAAATTGCAATGCAAGCACTGCAGACACTTTGCTGTTCAACCACACCGAGGAGCAAGGCTTCCAGCGACCGTTCGTGCTACGCGGAGAGGATCAAGAAATATTTTCTACGTAAAACAAGAGTGCACAGAGTCAATGCAGCGGAACTATCGGACAACCGGGAATCGATTTACCTTATAATTGTTTAAAAGAAGAAAAAAATAGTGGTGTGATAAGATGTACACAATGACACAAAAGCTTTACAAAAATATATCTATTCCAACACAAAACGGCAATGATGCTGCTATAGTTTTCTCCACTTGATTTTTCGCAAGAGAGCAAATGATCCGTAGATTTAATGAGATCCACATTTTTATTTGAGAACAAGGCAATTGCTGCTGTGCTGGCCATCGTAGCAACCGATGGTGGAAGTTTGACAATTAAAATCAAATGGTTGCGTTCATGCAATGTATAAATAGACAGGACGTAATGACACGACAGTTGTATTTTAATCGGTGGCCTAAACGTAACGAGAAAAAACACCGGAGCCATTTTTGTAGGACCTAAACGCAAGGAGGAAGAGACCTTGAGGGTCACACACGGCCGCTATTCACAGCGACACCGGCCTGCAAATGCAACAAGACCAGGTGACCGTACATTACTGCTGCACTTAAGATCGCAATTGTCATATGTGTTTAGTACTTAACACCTAACGTTATACATATTGCATGTCAGGCGACCACGTAGGCTGCACTATATAAGTCTACGGTGTGTTTTCGGGCTGGACTGCGTGCCTTTCACAATGATGTCCAACATTGTGCCCATTTTCTTTGCTTTAAGCAGGTTTCTGGAAACAGGTCCCCATCGAAAATGAGCATTTATTGCGCAGTGGAATTTACCCGTGGCCAAAAATGAAACCTAAACCATTCTGAATACGTCTTTAGAAGCTGCAAAGTTTTCCCGGGTTTTCTTAGAAACGATTGTTTTCTTGACAGCAGGACTGATACGTCGCAGAGAAGTGTGCTCAGTCTGCATTCTGGGAAGAGAGGAAATGGAGGCCGCCTGAAACCTGGCGAATGGTCACGCAAAAGATGGGTTTGCGATGGCCGCAGTGGATCGCAAGAGCCATTGGGACTTCACAAGCAGGTAACTGCCACTTTACCCACTCTCTTGCTATTGTAAAACTAAACTACTATAAAACCAGGTAAGGTCCACTGAGCTATGTAGCTCTTTTCCAGAAACGGCCTGTCCACAAATGATAGCTCAACGAAGTGGCTCATCACGTGGAAATTATAGCAGCCAAATACGCTAAACGCGTGTTTCTAAAACCGGAGGACCTGGTAAAAAAAAATCCACACGACCACAGGGAGAACATGCAAACTCCAAATATACACGCATCAGGGTCGGGTTTGAACCCAAGACCTCCTGTACAGCAATTGAGGTAGTTAACATCTTGCCACTGCGTGGATATGTGTTAATCATTTATTTGCCATGTCCTGCTTTGGGATAATTTGGTCAAAGGCAAACCCCTGATAACCGATATAAGGACTTATTACCCAGCACGAAGAGTAATCTCATTTGTAGTCATATATCATCACCACATTCACTGGATTACAAGATGCTCTGAAAAGTAAAACAGAGGCCAAACATTGGGGGAATTAAAATAAACGATATTTTTCCACAAAATTACGTCCCGGGAGAGCAGGAAACCACGGTGTAATATATAAAGTTCAGGAAATAGAACACTGGCAAAATAGTGCGTATTATAATACAAAGATTATAGTACCGTATGTTTGAAGTGACTGTAGTGGTAGCAATAAAGTTGGTGACTCTACCCGGGGGTTCCAATAAAGTTATGAAAATCTGCTCACGCGCGTAATGGTGGCCATGGTGGCTATAGAAGCCCACATACAAGTCGCACCACAAACTCTTTCAAATATAAGCGTAAAATGTTTTTATTTCAAGATGTGGAGGATATAGCCTGTCTAGTTTTTACCTCACGAGGCTGTTGTGACGCAGTTGCTGATAGTTTTGAAATGTTCTGAAGCGTAGATACACAGTGGCATGAGCTTGTGATTTAAGTCACAAGGGTTCTTAATGCCTGGCATAAACACCCTGTAAGTGAATGTAAATGTTTGTAATCCACATCCGCGCTTGTGTACGGTTGGTAGACTCTGTTCCTCTTGTTGCCATGGAGTCAACTGTGCACTCATCCATTTTTCTACGATGGGGTAAAATGTATTTACCCTGCCTCCATCCTCCTCACGCAAATGTACACTTCTAAACCGAAACCATGCCATTCCCAAATTGACATTTCCTGTTTAATTTTGTCACGCGCCACAAGACATTGCATCATTACTTTTAAATATAAACAACAATGTCAAGACGTGAATTATTAGCGCGATCAGGAGCCTTTCGTGAATAACAGTTCTACCAAACACAACAGAAATACCGACAACTCCCATGATTGACACGGTATGGGGGAGGCTGTCATCCAGTTGTGAATTGACGAGAGGCCTGCACAGTAGGATTGACCAGGCTGCAGCTCCAAAGAGCCCCACAGCTGTGGATGATGTTGGTGTTGGTCTCCGAAACTGGAGCTGGGGGTCACTGGAGCTGACCTACAGCAGAACAAGCAATGCTCGGGGCACTGCCAACTCCACTGCAGATCATTTATTAATACAGGTAGTCCCCGAGTTACGATGGTCCGACTTACGATATTTCGATCTTACGATGGCGATAGCGATTCGACAAAATTGCCATCAACAACCTAACATCGTTCAAGTGTGCAGACGACGGACAGAATCTTGGTGAGTACAGTACAATATGATACGTTACGATACGTTCAATGCATATGTATGATACGTAGAATTTCGATTTAAAGCTTTTGTGACTGCAGGGATTCATCTTCTTGGTTCTTTCGGTAAAGTCACGTAGAAGGGAAATAATAAAGTAATATTTTTACGTTTTAGTTTTATTCTTTTATTTTTTTTATTTTATTATTTCCCTTCTACGTGACTTTACCGAAAGAGCCAAGAATATGATACGTAGCTTTAGCGATTTCATTTTAAGGTTACCACGATAAATTGCTCTGTTTTGCTAAATTATCACCATTCTTTAAGACTCCTGGGTAGGCTAAGCCATCTTCGACTTACGATATTTTCGACTTACGATGGGGTCGTCGTAACGCATCTCTATCGTAAGTAGAGGACTACCTGTATAATCATACAGGACGTGTGTTGAATCAGCAATAATACCTTGCACGGCCAGCAGATGGTGCGGTTTGTGTGCGCACAGACCATTCCCATCGCTGGCTCGTATTGGCTGTTGGCAGTAGAGCAACCTGGCCACTGCAGCCTTCAATGCGATAGTCACTGCCACTGATAATTATGAATACTTGAATTAAATTTTAACGTACCATCTCGGTAACCAATGGCCACAAAACACGTTTAACGTACACATTTAATGTTGCACTTAATTCAGCCAATGTTGGCTTTTGACAGCGATAATGCCATGACGCGCTGCGCTCTCGATGGCACTGCGCTCGAGTGGCACACAGCGGTGACTGTGTGGTGTCGTTCCTAGGCTGATCCCTCACACGGCGTGATCCTGCGATGCCTGGGAGGATGCCCATTTACCTCGTAGCGCAATGGAGACTCCAACGGTGACAATTGGATCATTAACGGTTCATGAATCCCGCACCTCCGATTAGCACGGTTGGCTACGTACGGTGCGAAATAAGTTCAACGTACATACACAAATTTTTTTAAACAAAAATATAAGGAAGTAAATTAGAGATACGAGTACAATTGAACCTAATACATTTTCAACCGTGATTGTTCATGTACGTACAGTCATCAATGGCTGTTCCGTTACAAGGCAATGTCAGACGTGGAAATATTTGTCGCTGTCACTGTTCACGGAGACTCAAACGATTTGACGTATTAATGTTGCACTTCAGCGGGTTTGATGTCCTGTGGTGAAGTGTGTGCAGCTGCTGGTGAAGGGGCCCCTGCAGTCGCGAGTGTCTTTAATTCTCAGCCGGTTGCATTCGTGTCGCCGGGGCAACGCTGGCACTTTGACGAAGGGGTGCGCGTTGACATTTTAACTTTACTAGAGCCTTTAGGGTGCGGGGGGGGGGAAGGAAAAATAAAACGACTCCCACGCGTTGGGCATTGTAAAGTTTCACTACCTCGCAAACGCTTCGTGTTTGCCCGAAATTCGGAGCGGCGCTTCGTAAAAAAAAGGAAAGATCGTCGATTACACATTGACAGCTTTGGCCAGGTGCACATTCACGTTGTCCGGGCAATGTTCGGTAACACAGAAGCACATACTTGAGAGCCAGGTGATGGCTGTGGGGAGCGGTGGTGCAGTGGTGTACAGTTTATTCCTGACAACAACGGCACTTATCCCGAGGCCCCTTTCAGATGCATCCGAGAAAGTCTGTTTGTTGAACTTTTTTCGCACCGTACTTAGCCAACCGTGCCCATTCATATTAAGATATCTGGCTGCTCGATGCTGTGGCTGAGGAAGTCAACACAGTGGAATGACTGCGAGTCCAAATCACGGTTGTCGGTTGACAGTCCATCATACGATTGGGCTCAATAAACGGAGGTCCAACAGTGTGGAAGCTCAGTGGTGGACACCCTCTTGAGAGATCGATTTTCACCACAGAGATGTGGAAAGTTCAGTGGCTCGGGTTCAGCAGGAGAGAGAAGTTCTACACCATTGTTGTGTTGAGACCCTTTGACCCAACTCCGCAAAACCAGCTTTGTGCAATATAGTACTCGTTTCTTGTGTTCATGCGCTATATAGGACATGTGTGAAAAAGAGCTTCATAGCTCATCGGATTTCTCCAGGATAAACAAAAGATTCAGATTTTGAGGTGCAGCTTGACACCCCATTATTATACTGTTATCACTGGGCCTGAAGACTCGCGTTCAGTAGGATCCTGCCTTGGGACGTCTGTTCAGTGTACCTCGTGTTAGGTATTTTGATTTCACGTTTAAGGAATCTGCAGTGGACATGTCGCCCGTCTTGATGCGCAAATTCCAGAAAATGTTGCACTTGGATTGGTGGTTGACGTTCGAAGTGAGAACAGCGACCCTCAAATGAATGACGTCAGTCCCGTAGTCGCCCCCCCCCCAACACCGTGATCCATGGATCAAACAAATCACTCCAGACACGCCGGTGTATGACAGCAAGAGCAGTTTATGCGAATGCTGTCGCAAGGGGTCACACGTTAGGCGCCAACGGTCCTTCGCTGACTATGCGTGATGAATGGATGAATGTGTCTGGAGTGTGCATTTGAGAGAATACTCAAAACAAATGGACCATCTTGACCTACCTCAATCTGTAGCGATGTTTCTATTTTTCGTTTTATTGCATTATTATTGGGTTTTTACTGGTTGTTCAGCGTTTTATTTTTGTAAGGTTTAAAAGAGATATGTTTTACCACTAATGTACAGCGCTCTGATTTCACCAATTTGAAAGGCGCTTTTATAAAACTGAGTTAATCATCATTATTATTGCTTGCTGTACTGCCTCCGAAAGGCACATTGCTGCCCGGTAAGAGGGTGTCTCACATGGATATCATCTACTTAGACCGGATATACTGGCTTTAAAGATGCACGACTCAATGCTGAGCAAGGCTGTATTGCCTGTCAGCGTAAAATGACAAATGTAATTTTTTTGTGAATGTCAATTCACTACGCTTGAGAGTTGAGCGCAATAGTGGGTGGATTTGCAGCACCCAAGGCCACTTGCAAGCTCTGTGAAATTTACGTTGCAGTCCCCAGACAAAGAGCTGTCTCGGCATTTAGGTGAGACCCTGAGCAGACTGTCTTGTATGTATGTTGAACTGTTTTTAACAGACTGTAGGGGCAAGTGCTGTTAGCAAGCACAAATGAAAGCCGGTATTGCACACGAGGGGGTGGGTGGCCAGAACCACGCACGGCCGCCTTTGTCTCCCTAGTGGCAATGTTTACTACACACCGCACCAAGTACTCATTTGAGGCTGAGTCGACCTAGAGGAGGCCCAGGACCGGTTCAGATAATTGCCACTGGTGTTGGCCGTGAGCGGGAACCAAACTGGGGTCGTTGGGTTCATAGCGCAGCATGCTAACCGCTACACTACCACTCCCCAT